AGGCCACGGGGCAGGGGGAGGGGAAAGGGAATTCTGAGGAGGGGAGAGGCGGAGGGAGGGGAAATGGAGAGGCAGAGAGAAATACGAGGAGGAAAGAGAAAGGGCTGACGGAGGGAATACTTTAGGAGGGACCGTATAAACACATCTAGAGAAACCGAGGCAGACCCTGGGAATGAGCCCGCCCCGCCCAACCTGCGCCATGGGAGATACCAGATGGAAGAGACCCCAGCCTTCTCGCCCTCATGGGCGAGTGAGTTCCAGGTGGGAGCACAGCTAGGTGAGACCTCTGAGAAAGGCCTCCTTGGCAGTGTTGAGCCGCTCAAGTCAGTCTCCACCTTGTCCAGCTGGCGGACTCCTACTCATCCTTCAAAACCCAGCTCAAGCATCACCTGCCCTGTGAAGAAGGCTTTCCCAGAAAATGTGCAATCACAGTTACTCTCTTTTCTATGTGTTTCTGCATGTGGCACAGGCACGTGGCGTTGAAATGGTTTTCCGACCTGTCTGCCTCTTTCCGTTGCTCCTCAGGGTTTGAGGTCTACGTCTTTATTTATCTCCAACCTTCAGAATCCAGCCCAGTGCTTGGTGCATAGTAGGTGGCCCATAAATACTGACTGAATGACAACTGGGAGCATTTGGACTTTCTAATACATGGAGAAACAGTTAAATGCAGATAGAGGACTCATAGAGACTCCTGGGTCAAAACACCCTGTTTTGCAGGTGGAGATGTTAAAACCCAGGGAGGGGAGGACACTTGCTTAAAGGGACACAAGCAGGAGTCCTGCAGTGAAAGAACATTGTGAATACAGACTTCCCTGAGATGCCCTTGTTCCTCTAGCCTGAGAGTTTAAAATAGGTGTGAAAGAAATGAAAACAATCAGTGGACAAGTAGCTTATTACCAGTTGTAAGTTTCCAACACTGAAACTGACAATCAGAACTTTTTCTAGAATATTTAGAATCCTCTTTACTTTGTAGAAAAGAGAAGGGAGGTGAATGTTCACCTTAGTTGAAGTGGCTGGCTTTCTGCTTCCTGACTGCGTTAACCTGGACAAATTGCCTAACCTTCCTGAACCTCAGTTTTTTTAAACTGTAAGGTGGGGCCTCACAGGATCGTTAGAAGAGTTAACACACAAAGTGCCTGGTGGGGAGGAGACCCTCAGTAAATACAACCCTGCCCTTCTGAGGTGGGTGTTCTTTCATGCACTTGTAAAAGTGAAGACGACCGCGCTAGTGAAAATGTTTCCTTTTGTCCCAGGACAAAAGTCCATCCTGGTCCAACTTAGGAGCAAACTCTTTTGGTAAAAGAAAAGGCAGATCTGGGGCATGGCATAATATGCATCTTCGTTCTGTTGAGGACTTCAGGTTTCTGCAGGTGACGGGGTGCAACCTCACTTCCCCCCCCAACCCTGTCCTCCCCCAGCAGGCAAGACCCCAC